TAACAAAAAAAAAAAATCATTTTTTTTTCTTTATCTTCAACATATATAACAGCAATGTAATGACATCATAATACAGACAAAAAAATCACTCCAATCCAATTCACATTAGAATTTACACTCAATAAAAATACACCTAAATCCATGGACACATTTAAAATCTATTCCATAAGAAGCAATTGGAACGTTCAGGGTGCTGTTGTGAGGTGGTGCCGGTGCTGACGCGGTGCTAAGTACTACGACGGGTGCACTGTGCTGATGGTGCTGCTGAAGTGCAAAGGGAGGTGCAAGTGTCGGAAACGAAGTGATTCAGGGACTCCCGTACAAAGTGATGACTAGGGTAGAGTAGAAGCAGTGTGTGAAGAGCAGGTGGGTTAGGTAAGTGTTTAAGGGTGTGTGTTTACTTTTTTTTAGGTGCTTTAGTGTGCAAAGGGTTTAGTGTTTAAGTGTTGGATTGTGTAAGTGTTTCAGTGTGAAAGTGTTTAAGTGCTTTGATGCCTGTGGGTTAGAATGCTTGAAACTAATAATATTTACGTAACACAATTTCACAAGTAACAATGTATAGTGGTAGTGGTGTGTGTGTGTGTGTGTGTGTGTGTGTGTGTGTGTGTGTGTGTGTGTGTGTGTGTGTGTGTGTGTGTGTGTGTGTGTGTGTGTGTGTGAACTGTTGAGTATCCCAAGTGACGTGATTACTGTTGTGTGTATCAAGTATGCCTTGTGTAATCTTTCTTCTCAAGATCATAACTAAGAAACATAAATCACAGTTAGTATCCACTGTGTAAATGAATATTCTTGTATACTTTTTATCTGTAAATCGACAGGATCCTAACAAATGCCTGACGATAATCACAATCACCAAAGAACTTAACATGTTTAAAACGAGTTCTAAGAGATAAATTGTGAGAAGACGAAACACACCAAGGAGTCGAGGTGCTTTGGGTTCGGAGGTGCAGTGACAAGACATATACTTGGACATGACAGGTGCATGTGACATGACAAGTGCGCGGTGATGGCAGCAGGCGCTCGTGAAGATACGCAACAGGAGAGTGGAAATGGGGAGGGAAGGAGAAACAGAAAGATGTAGATGAATAGAAGAGGAAGAGGATGAGACAAAAGGACACAGAGTGGATATGAGGATAAAAAGGGGAGGGAAGGGAAAACGAAGAAAATGAGAAAGGAGAGAAGTCAAAGAAACAGTTAAGGGAGATACTTAGATAATGTCTAAGGAGGAAAAATGTACAGGAAGAAGAAGAAGACGATGGTGAAGAAAAAGATTAAGAGGAGAAAGACAGAAAAAGAAGAGGAAGTAGAGGTAGGAAAAGGAGGAAGAAGAGGAGGAATGTAAATAAAATGATAGATTCAGACTTTCAGGACGAAGAGGAAGAATGTGAGAAAGAAGAGAAAGAGGAAGTAAAGAAAGAGGAAAAAGAGGAAGGGGAACGGGAAGAGGAAGAGGATGAGGAAGAGGATGAAAAATAAGGTGCTGAGACATCCAGGAGGAAAAGGAAGAGGAAGAGAAACGAAGTGCTCGGACGCGGGGCAGGTGCTGAGACATCCAGACAACCCAAAGGCGTGACGTCGAGCCACAACAAACACACGTACTGGAACTTGGCTTATTGTTCTGGATGTGGACATTGGTAGCGATGGGGAACACAGGGTCTTTGTGAGAGGATGAGATGACCAGGAGGGAGGCGGCCCCGGGGGGAACGGACACTTGCTTGGCCAGAGGCGTCTCGACAGCCTTGGCCACTGCGGTCATGGCTTCGAGACGGCCAATGTAAGTGTCGCCTGAAACGTAATACAATCGGGTTTTTCTCTCTCCTTTTCTTTATGTCATCTAGTTTTATCTCTTTCTCTCTCTCGCTCGCTCGCTTGCACACACACACACACACACACACACACACACACACACACACACACACACACACACACACACACACACACACACACACACACACACATACACACAGCAACTGGTAACTTCATGGTAACTACTGAAATATCTATGGATCTTGGTTGCAGGTGAACAGAAGAGCCACATAAGTTGGATTACTACGCTGCACTTGGAAGCAGACCACAGACAAGTGATAAACATAGTCGAGACTAATACAATGAATCTATAACTCTCTAAAGTATACAAACCTTTTAGACACACATAAAATAATCTCTAAAGACATTTTGGATACGTGTGAAATTGCAGTAAAGCATCTTTCGAGTTTCCAATAGCTGGTTCTATAAAATACCAAGTGCTTTTGAAGACTTAAGCTCATTTTTACAAATTACGTGGACAAAAGGTCTCAATATTTGTATTTTTTTCTTTCAAGTTTTATTTACTTACCTGTTTACCGATCTAGCGGTTTATGTACTAAATCATTTTTATACTCATTTATATGAATTGTATGTTAACAAATGTATAAGAGGTATGAATGAGAGTGAATATCTTCACAATACAAGAGATGTATGTGACCGGTTTCGATTATATCTTCGTCAGAAATACGTGCATTTCCAACGAAGATTTAATCGAAACCTATCAAACACATTCCTGTTTTGTGAAGATATTCATTCTCATTCATACCTTTTACTCTCTTATATGTCTAGCCGCTGGCCTCCTCTCCACCTACCAGACTGGGAACTGGCAACTCCTCTGCTAACCTTACAATAGCTCTCAACGATTAAATTGACCACACGAACTTACTCTTATATAATATTCAAACCGGTTTCTCTCGGCGGAGCATTCTGTTATGGTTAGAAAGACGTATTCGATAATATTTTTTAAAGAACTGTATTCACTAAAACAACCTCGGGACTTCGTCATTTTTAAAAACTAGACATGAATTTCGTTGCTAATGCATCGACATATCGTCGCGTCGTGCTTCCAGATATAATCATTGGCAACACGTCAGTCACGACCATTTTCACGACGCTGACTTTTGACGTCTAGGGCGGACGGAGAAAAATCTGAAAGAAGTCTCTAAATACTTAACTTTCCATTGGCATTAGTGAGTCCCGTGTGCCTCTTAAGCCGTGCCTAGCGAAAAGGTCGTGCCGTGTTGCAAAGGGCCGCCCGATGACCATGGGGGCTACTTTTCTATGATCGACGCGTGTGAAAGAGCTCGTTGATGCCAGTGGTTGTCTGAAGCACGATATTACGCTGTCCACGGCAGACGATAAAAATCTCGATGAGCGTGAAACAGGACTAGTTCTCTGACTGATCTCAAAAGCAATTTACGTCAAAATGAATAGTAAAACGTTTTGCTGATCACTCTAATCTGTGCTCTGAGACAAAAAGAATGCGTGATCGTGTTCTTCATTAAAGAAACTGCGTCACAAATTGTTTCCCAAATATGACCTGTTTTCCAACGTCGGCAATTTCTCTCAATATATCCTATAATTGTACTTTTGGGGAATATTTGTTTTCAGACAATGTAACTCTTTAAACAATTCATCATGAAAGGAAAGAATCGTAAAAGTGGCAACATTATGAATCACATTTATGACGTAATTATGCTGTTACATTACCTTTCCCGCGGAAATATAAAAGGGAGCGCGAGTGTAAATCTTTTTTTTGTAATAACTTCAAATTTATTCGGGATTAAACAACTCTCGCGGGTCTCACCTGTGTCGATTTAACTACAAAAGAAAGAAACGCTGAATCAACGATCCTAGTCGATTTATAAAAATATCCCATGATGTTATCTTATCTGCTCCGGGCATCAGGTGAAAACTGGTCAAAAATAGTTGAGGCCGATAAAAAACAGCGATATGAATGAATGGTCGCCTCCCACACATAAAGCTATCTGTCCATGTATCTGAAACACACACACACGCACGCACACACACACACACACACACACACACACACACACACACATACACACACGCACAAACAAACGTACAAACGTACATACATACATACATACATACATACATACATACATACTTACGTAGTGTATGTGTGTGTGTGTGTGTGTGTGTGTGTGTGTGTGTGTGTGTGTGTGTGTGTGTGTGTGTGTGTGTGTGTGTGTGTGTGTATGTGTGTATGTGTGTGTACGTGAGTGTACACATTCTTCCTTTCAATTCTACCATCCTCTCCTCATCTTTTCTCTCTCCCCTAAGGCTTCTTTCTAAACGCTCCCTGATTTATAAGATAATCCACGGGGACAGTGACCCACCGTTGTGTAATTTACTGTCTTCCTGAGCTAAATGCTGTCTCAAAAACACTGAATATATGTCTCTGAAAGTCAGTATTCTTCACACTTACCAACATTTTTAAAGCCTTCTGAAAAGGGATGTAACGAGAGAAAATTATATGCTAATTAATTCTGGCAGTTAGCTAAGTCTGGAAAAGTTTCAACGAACAGTGACAGAAGAAATAATAATAAAAAAAAAATACGTATTAAAACAAACCTAAACCTTAATATTAGAGTAGGATATAAATCTCTAAATCGATAATTCAAGATAAAAACAATCGATGAATTTCAAAACCTTTTTTGCTCACAGTTAAAAGCCTGAATAACTCTCTGCTTTCGTCTCTATAATTATTTGTTTATCCATTAGTGAGACCTTCCATCTCGCTGTATATTTGTCTAACTAAATATCTAAATATCTGTGACATTTCTGTCCACGATATATCTCACCTATATATTGGTACATCTGTCTGTGCGACCTTCCATCTATCTATCAATCTGTCTGTCCAGTCTATCTACCAATCAGTTTGCCTATGAGCCCTCCAGTCTATCTATATACCATCATCTGAGATCTACACTCTATCTCTCTATCTATCTCTGAAACCTCCACTTTATTTATCTCTCTCTCTCTCTCTACCTATGAGACCCCCAATCTATCTATTTATCTTTGAAACTTCCTCTCTCTCTCTCTCTCTCTCTCTCTCTCTCTCTCTCTCTCTTTCTCTCTCTCTCTCTCTCTCTCTCTCTCTCTCTCTCTCTCTCTCTCTCTCTCTCTCTCTCTCTCTCTATCTATCTATCTATCTATTTACCTCCGAGACCTCCACTCTCCCCAACCTATCTATTAAACCCACCTATGAAACCTCCCATCTATTAATCCATCTACCGCAATGCCTTAACGAGACAGACACTCACCAACACAAGGATTTTCGTTTACGAGGGAATAGAGGCGAGAGCAGTTCCGATCTTGGCCGTCCGGGCAGATGCAGCCGAGTAGGGGCGTCTCTCGTAGCTGTAGCCAAGCCTTTAGACAGTCCTCCCTGAAAATGAGGAATGAGAAAATAAGGAATCGAGGAATTTTCCTTGAGAGAGGGAGAGGAAAAAGAGGAGGAGGAGGAGGAAGAAAAATTTCCTTGAGAGAGGAAGAAGACGAGGATGAAGAATAAGAAGTTGAAGAAGAAGAAGAAGAAAAGGAAGAAGAGGAAGATGGCGATGATGAAGAAGAAAACTATGAAGTCGAGGACGAAGAAGAAGAAAACTATGAAGTCGAGGACGAAGAAGAAGAAAAAGAAGCAGAAGACGAAGAAGAAGATGAAGAAGAAACAGAAGAGGAAGAAAAAGGAAAAGAAGATGAAGGAAAATAAAGACGTCAGAAAAGAAACGAAAAAATAAAATGAAGATGAAGGAGGAAAAGAAGATGAACAAAAAAGAAGAAGGATATGAAGAAAAATATGCAAGAAGGTATGTGGTATGCAAATATGTCCATTATGTAAATTTACGTAAACCTACAATCACTGGAAAGCTGAATACAAAACAAGCATGAAATAAGAAATATGTAGAAGGTATAGTCTTTGCTTTGGCACACTGTTAAAAATGTTAAACCTAATAATAAATTCACACTCATGAGATAAAAGAAAAAACTAAAGAAAAAATAAAAGAAACGAAAAAAAACGAAGAAATAAAAGGAAAACAAAAGAGCCGTTGCTGAATAGAATTGGACTCTCCTTTAAGGGATTTAAGCAGGATGTCAATGTGTGGAGAGAGAATCCGGGGTGCATATACTATCAGTCCTCCTGGCGGCTATGATTTGAATAGTGAATGACCCCCTCACCTGAATAAACACGTGAGTAGATGTGTGATTAAACAAGCTCACATGGATTTAACCCGACCTCCTCCCTTGCCTCTCTCTCTTCCCCTAATCTCTTCCCTTCTCTTTCCTTACTCTCCCTCTCTCTTCCCTTTCTTTCCTTCTCTTTCCCTACTCTCTTCCCTTCTCTTTCCTTACTCTCTCCCTTTGCTTTCCCTCTCTCTTCCCTTCCCTTCCTTCTCTTTACTTACTTTCTTCCCTTTTCTTTCCTTACTCTCTCTCCTTGCTTTCCCTCTCTCTTCCCTTCCCTTCCTTCTCTTTCCCTGCTCTCTTCGCTTCTCTTTCCTTACTCTCTCTCCTTGCTTTCCCTCTCTCTTCCCTTCCTTTCATTCACTTTTCCTACTCTCTTCCCTTTCTTTCCTTCTCTTTCCTTCCTTTCCTTACTCTCTCCCCTTGCTTTCCCTCTCTCTTCCCTTCCTTTCCTTCACTTTCCTTACTCTCTTCCCTTCCCTTCTTTCACTTTCCTTACTCTCTTCCCTTCCTTTCATTCTCTTTCCTTACTCTCTTCCCTTCCTTTCATTCTCTTTCCTTATTCTCTTCCCTTTCTTTCCTTCTCTTTCCCTCTTATCTTCGTGTCTTCCTATCCTCATTTTCCTCTTTCTTTCCACTTCTTCATTTTCTCTTCCCCTACTCTCTTCCTTCCCCTTCTTTCGCCCCTCCCCCCCTCTCCCTGACCTTTCCCTTCTCCTTCCTTTCCTAAACTCTTCCCTTGTCCTTCCCATTCCTCTTCCCTTTCCAATCTCTTCCTCTATATTCTATCTTCCCCTCCCTCTTCTCCTCTTCTCCCTTCCTCTTCTCCCTCCCCCTCCCCCCCCCCCTTCCCTCCTCATTTCTCTTCTCTTCACTCCCCCCCCCCCCTCCCTCCTCCCCTCTTCTCCCCCAGCCACGTGTTTGGACAAATATTGTATAGCTATAACTCCAGTCAGCCTTGGGGCATGGTGCAACTGCAGAGTAATGTAAGCTAACTGGGCAACGGCGACCAGTGAGGGAATAGAATGGAGAAGTTATAGTGAGATTGAAAGAGGCAGACGGAGGGTAAGAGAGATTTAAACTGACGGACGAATAAGGCAATACGAATAAGAGAGACAGAATTGGATAGATGCACAGAAGGACTTGATATATACTAGTACACTCACAGATAGATAGAGGACGAAGGAAGGCCATAGAAGAAGAGAGCCAGAAGGAGAGAATTAGAAAGAGAGGTATAATGAAGTGAAATAAGGTAGAGAATGAGAGAGGAAGGCAAGAGGAGCAGGCAACCGTATAATACAAACATGAAGAGAGAGAGAGAGAGATAGATAGATAGATAGGAATAGATAGATAGATAGATAGAGAGAGAGAGAGAGAGAGAGAGAGAGGGGGGAGGAGGAGAGAGAGAGAGAGAGAGAGAGAGAGAGAGAGAGAGAGAGAGAGAGAGAGAGAGAGAGAGAGAGAGAGAGAGGAGAGAGAGAG